AAAACCTTCAGAAAAAATATCTGATCTTTAGTTCCTAAGACTGGGTAGGAGAAAACACTTTGTTTTGTCCTTATTCCAGAACTGGAAACCCTTCTGCTGAAATGCCTTCTTGCCTTCATATTTTGGATAAGGACTTAAAATAGAGGTGGGAAAAAACAGGAGGAAAAGGCATGGCTTCTGCACTAACATATTTTTCACTGTTCCCCTTAGTTTTTGCACCAGTTTATAAATATTTGCAAAAAAACAGGCAGTAGGAATATTGTTTCTTTTGAGCAGCTAAAATGTCCCCTGATTTCTTCTATACTAGGTTTTTATGAGACTCAGAACTGCAAAGTCTTACCAATTTGAGCAAGCCTCATTCCCTCAGAGCTTTTATCAGTGATGAGGCCCTGAACGCCCCACATCCCACAGAGTGACTAAATGCAGTCTGACCAGAGTTGTTTCAAGAGATTCTTTCTGCAGTTCTTGATTCCAGCTTCTCTCTGCTGGGCAGGGCACAGTGCCACAGTTGACAGCAAGGAACTGTCTCACCCATGTCCTAAATCAGCCATCCCATCCACCTCCAGGAGGAAAAAAGAACCATGTCACTCACTGCAGTAACACCATAGCCAAGGTGGCTTGGGGTAAGGAAACTGGAGAGATCAGGGTTGCCATGGAGAGAGAAAAGGAACTGGAGGGGACTTAGGGAGGCAAGGAGATGATAGGAGAGAGGATGAAGACCGGGCAAACAAAGGCTTAAATGGTAACCTGCTGACTGTGCAGGATGCGTGGGGATGAAAGGTAAAAAAAAAAAAAAATCAAGATTGGAACCAGATATCACTAATAAACAAAAAGAAGTGTTGAGGTTGGTGGAAAGGTGAGAGTGCTTTCCTCCAGGTCCTGTAATGGACTGCATGATTCCTGGTCTCACATTCTGCTTTTGGTAAATGTTCATTGTGGTTGGTTCACCTTGATTGGAGACCAGATACCCACCAAAGCTGTTCTATCACTCTCCTCCTTATCTGGGCAGGGGTGTGAAAATAAGACAAAAGGCTCACAGGTTGAGAGGAGGACAGGGAGAAATCACCCGTTGGTTGCCATCATGGGCAAAGCAGACTTCACTTGGGGAAATAAATTTAATTTATTGCAAATCAAATTCAGTAGGATAATGAGAAATAAATCTTAAGACAACTTCCCACACCCTCACTTCTTCTGGGCTGAACTTCATGCCCAGTTTTCTCTCTGTCTTCCCTCTCAGCAGTGCAGGGAGACATGGAATGGGGGTTGTAGTCAGTTCACCACAGGTTGTCTATGCCTCTCTACAAACTGCTCCAATGTGAGTCCTTCCCATGGGCTGCAGTTCTTTGCAAACTGCTTCAGAGTGGGTCCCTTCCCTGGGGCACAGTCCTTCAGGAGCAAACTGCTCCAGTGTTGGTCCCCTGCAGGGTCACAGGTCCTGCCAGCAAACCTGCTCCACATGGGCCGCTCTCACCATGGGGCACAGGTCCTGGCAGGGCCCTGCTCCAGTGTGGCTTTCCATGCAGCCACAGCCTCCTCCAGTTACCCACCTGCTCTGGCCTGGGGTGCTCCAGAGGCTGCAGGTGGGTCTCTGCTCCACTCTGGGCCTCCATGCTATGCACCATGGGCTCCAGGGAAGCCTCAGCTTCTGCACCTGGAACACCTCCTCCTCATTCTCTCTGCCAGTGTTTCTCTCACATGTTCTCACTCCTCTCCTCCAGCTGCTGTTCTACATTTCCAGACCCTTCCTTTCTGCCTCCCCCTTAAATGCATTATCCCATAGGTATCACCACCATTCCTGATTGACTGCTTTAAGCAGCTTCTCACAGAAACCACACCTGGAGCCCCCTGCTGCTAAAGTCTTCCTACTCAAACCCAATACACCCATGGAGTTACTAGCAAAGCAATTGTTTCCTCTCAGCTCATGTCTGTAAGCTTCTAGAGCCATTGACTTCTTTGCTATTGATTTGTGAATCACTGGAAATTTGAAAGTATAATTCAGACAAAAAATTGTGAAACCTTCATTGCAGCATGACCTCTTAAAGGACACAGATACTGTTTTGCAAGCTGTGGATGTTCAGGATTAGTGTTGCCTTATGGACATTTAATGACCTTGTACATATGCATCAGAGTGAAGTCTTGTGTGAGCACATATTCTATTTCTTTGTTTCATCCAGCTAAGAGGATAGACATCAACCTGGGAATAAATTGTGTTGCAGCTGATGTGAATAGAACTGGTGTTTTCTACATATACAGAAGTCTGGTATAATTTCAGAAGTCATTCCAAATTAGCCAATGTCTTAGTCATAACAATATATGAAAGATATTAAAGCATTAGAGAGCATCCAAAGGAGGGCAACAAAGATGGTGAAGGGCCTTGAGGAAGGTGAAGCTGTACGAGGAGCAGCTGAGGTCACTTGGTCTGTTCAGCCTGGAGAAGAGGAGCCTGAGGGGAGACCTCATTGCAGTCTGCAACTTCCTTGTGCGGGGAAGAGGAGGGGCAGACACTGATCCCGTCTCTGCAGTGACCAGTGACAAGACCCAAGAGTCCTGAAGTTGTTCAGGGGAGGTTTAGGTTGGATGTCGGGAAGAGGTTCTTTACCTAAAGGGTGCTTGGGCACAGGAACAGGCTCCCTAGGGAAGTGGTCACAGCACCAAGCCTGACAGAGTTCAAAAAGAGTTTGGAAAACACTCTCAGGTACAAGGTGTGACTCTTGGGGATGGTGCTGCACAGGGCCCAGGGTTGGACTCCCTGATCTTGATGCTCACTTCCAATCCAGCTTATTCTGTGATTCTGTAACTTTGAATTGCTGTCTTTAGTATCTATGCTCCACCTCATAAGTGCAGTTAGGAACTCTTCAACAGACAGCAGTGATGTGAAGATAAATGAGTCAAACTCTGTGCGACACTTGGCTGTCTATGGGAGAAATCAGTAATCCAACCTGAGGTTTAGAGAGAAAGTGGATCTGAACTCTTATCAGAGGTGCACAACAAAAGAGTAAGAGGAGACAGTAACTGACTGTAGAATGAGAAAATCTGAAATCTGACTGGAAATAATAGTAACAACAACCACCAGCACAAAGCAAAAGAGATTAACATTGGAATAGGTCTCCCAGAAGTCTGTGGAAGCTCTATCCTTAGCAGTTTTTGAAACCAGACTGAAACAAAACCCCAAGTAATCTGATCTAATATTGAAGCTGATGCTTTTCTCAGTAGAAGGTTAAACTAGAGGACCTCCTAAGGCTCCTTCCAATGTAAGTGATCTCCTGACTGTATTAGGAATATGGAGAAAGTACAGACCTGCAAGGCATGTGACTGACTAATGGTCACCAACTACTGTCAAGGGCTCCTTGGGGTATAAAACCTCTGATAGATGTAGAACAAAAGAATCTGCTCAGGAGCGGTGAGGTTTTAAAACCTGATATGATGAAAGAGCTCAGGAATCCTGCTTTGTAGTGGAAAACTCAATATGACCAGGATGAAATCAGCAGGCTGCAAAGAGTTGTAAGGTCTTTTACTAACTGTGTGTTGGCAGCTTCCAGAGGCCATAATTTCTGCTTTTCCCCTACTTTGGCATGCAAGCAACTTCTGGAAAGAAGCTTCCAAGAAAAATCTTACTCACCAGCATTCACCTTGAGCACACATCATCAAGAGGACATGAAATTTCCCCCAGGACATGACTTATTTAGTTCTGCACTGAGATGTGCCTGTTAAAGTTATCCTAAGACAATTTCTTTTCCTCTCCCTAGGTGAATTGCAGAGGTATCACAGTACTGAAAAGACCACAGGTAGACCAGGAGAGCAATAAGATTTGGCTTCAAGTTGTTTTTTGTTTAACTGGCTAAGCAGCAAATGCCAAGCCCTGGCTGCAAAGGACTGCCATAAGCCAAGTTCTCTCCACCAAGCTCATCTCTCCTCCTGCAGTGCAGCAGCTCGGGAAGTGAGAAGGTGCAGTGCTTGCCTTTGGAGTGACACCCTGCCTCACCGCACTGGAAGTTCTCTCCCCTGTTGCTCTCTCATCTCACCTTTGTCAAGGCCTATGCCCCTCAGCTGGTACAAGCTGATGTAGGTGGTGCCTGGTGGCATAAATGCAAGCAAAACGCTTGTTAAAAAGCAATTAAGATTTCCTGATGCTATGCTTTTGTCCAGCTTTGGCCACAGCAGTGGTTCCAGCTGCGAAGAGAAGTGTAAGGATATGAATATCTAATTTCAGCTGGGAATTTACCTCGGGTGTTGGTAGTGGGCCATTAAGGTGTCTTGGAACCTCCTTCTTCTCTCTGGTTTCCAGTTTCCCTGCTGTAGTTCCAGTCCTTGCAGATATCACGCTTTTGGGGCAGGCACAGCTTGTTTTGAATTATGTGTTCCTGCAGGCTGGATGCAGTTGCCTGTCTGGCTCTCAGGTGTGCTGGGCTGGTTTGGGGAGAGCTGAGGCACCACAGCAGAGAGAGACTGTGTGCTGCTCCCTGCCTGCAGGTCTGCACTGCAGCCCCCCTCAGGACACGGAACTCAGTCGTGAGGATACTCAAGCACTGGAGCAGTCTGCCTGGGAAAGGGGTGGAGTGGCACTTGGGGACGTGATTATTGCTGTAGTTGGCAGTGACGGATTAAAAGTTGGAATTTATGATCTTGGAGGCCTTTCCAACCTACAACCTAAACTAATTCCATGATTCTATGACTGTGGCCCTGCTGGCCCTTTTATGTCCTGCCCTTACACAGCGCACGTTAGCCGAAGCTGTCGGCACATCCACAGGAAGCAATGCGGACACGCCAGAAAGGTGCGGGAGCCCCGCCAGCCGCAGCTCTGGGGTGTCCGCTTTCCGCCGCCTTTCCCTTCACAGCGCCCTCACGGCGGCGGCCCGCGCGCTCCCGGCGCGGTGGCCTGAGGGGGGCAGCAGCCGCCCGCGCTCCCGCCGCGCCGGCGCACCGAGCCCTGGCCCGCAGCGGGACCGGGCCGGGGAGCCCCGCCGTGACCGAGCTCGGTCAGCGCCCGGAGCGCCTCTTACCGCGGTGGCGACTTCGCTACAAAGCAGGCTGTGTGTCTGATCGCTCCATCCAGGCAGCAGTAAAGCACAGGGTCTCTGTTTCTGCGCTGAAATCGGTGATATCTCGATCTGGTGACTGCCTCTCTCCTGAGTTATGATGGGATCACACCTCCCGGCCATGCACGTTGGTAACTGATGGGAATGAGCAGAGTCTGTAAGTCAAAGCTGCAGCCAACACCTGACTGGGGGCGCCAGGAAACAAGTGCAGACACTGTGGGTTACAGAAGCAAAGGAATTTGGGTACCTAAGTACTGCCCTAGTCCTGCCATAGGCACTGAAATACTCAGAGTCCTGAAACAACTTTGCAGCTGAAGGCTGAGCTGTGAGACATCAGGGCACGCTAAACACCTACTCCAACCAATAAATTCCCTGAGGATAATATCAGGTCGATATTTAGTTGTCAAAGACTTGACACCATGATTAAAATGCCCTTGTGTCTTTCCTTTCTCCTTATGCTGCAGGCATTTGTGGACCCAGCTGAGGTACTCAGCTCTCCCCAGGCATTGCAGAGTATGCCTGTGCACTCAGCTTGGGGATGTGATTTCTGAACATGGGGAGAACACTGGAAAGCTTGATGCCATGATACTGAGTTTCAGAGCATCTGTGTCTCTGCACATCTGGCTGATGCTGGCATCCTTCTCCAAGGTTTGGTTACAAGCCGAAAGAGAAAAATAGAAATGACTGCCTAGAACTGCTCTGTTCCTTACATTTCCAGGGCCAGTGGAAGTCACTAGGATCTTGTAAGTCCTTTAAGCCTGAGCACTTCTATAAATTATAATGTCTTGTAATAGTCTGAAAAGATTGTTCCATCATGACATTATAACCTTCAAACCTTCCCTGAGTGGTGGTTAAGACCATGGAACATCCCAACTCCATCCATTACCAAATTTGGTCACTTTGCATCATTCTATCAGGATCCAGGATCTTGGAGATTCATTTGGGGGGGTCAGAGTCCCATGGGACGTAATTAATTCTTACTGCATTACAGTTAGGTAATAAAATCTTGAGACCACACACACAATTTCTTTCAGTCCATACTTCTCCTGAAATCCTTGAGTAAGAACTAAGCTGAAGAGGATCAACGCTTCAAGTTTGGCCTTCTGTTCTTTCACTGGGCAATCATGAGTGTGCCCAGAGTCAGTTCAAGCAAGCCTGGCATTCTCCATCTGTTTTTCTCCTGTTACCTGTGAGCCATTGCACCTTAGGATGCTCAGCTGCAAATAGAACAGAATTCAAGATACAGGTGGCTGATCTACTGTGGAAGGTATCTGAAACTACTGTGCCTTGCTTGTTTAGTCTCTTCAGTTATGACCACTTAATTCCACTTCCAGGTGTACACCATGTGGTCAGTACTCGTCCCACTAAGACACATCTACAGCATCCAGACCAAAACTGACTGGGTTGATTCCAGTGTGATGACATCTGAAGTGCATTTGTAAGAACTGAGGAAGTGCCACCTGAGAAAGGGGAAAACTCTAGTAAAATGTGGGGAAACATTCTCTTGTGTCACTGATAACTGCCTATCAAAGTGGGTCCTGTTTTCATTTGGCAGTGTGCTGGGCAGATGACTTCTGCTGACCAGAAATCCCTTGCAGAAGTTGTTCATTATTAGCCAATGTTGTGTGCTGCTCTGCTTTGCCCAAACCCCTGAGAACCTGCTGAGCTGCCTGGAGCTGGGACTGATAAGAGCTTGTGTTTGAATAAGTACAACTTTTAGACAGTCTCTGCCAATGGGGCTGAGGCACAGACTAGTTTAATGAAAAGTTAAAAATTAATTATCCAGTGTCTAGTCCCTGACTGCTACCAGCAGCTGTCAACAGCAGGTCCTGTTTTGGTGTGGCTGAGGGTGGCAGTGCTGCCAGAGAAGCAGGAGCTGTGTCTGGACCCACTACAGGCTTCTGCTGAGCCCTGCAGAACATCTGCAATAGGAAACCTTTCTCTCTCCTTTGTCCTTTCTTACAAGGAAATAGGTCAGGAAGCAAAAAATCAGGAGCTGGGAAGGAGGATGAGAAGTTTCAGTGAGAAAGTGTTCCTCTTAGACTGGAAATTATGCACTCTTAGTGCTGAGCTCCTTTGATACTCTCCAGTTCCCTCTCTGGCTGTGGGAGCACAAGGAGCTGTACCCTGGTCAGGGTGTGGAGACCCAGGCCAGCCCTGGGCATGGCAGAGTAAGGCAGGCTAGGGAGGGCAATGGCTTCCTTTCAGTCAGACAATAATCAAAGTAATTTCTCACCCCTCCTCCAGCCTCCCACATGATTTTTCAGGCCAGGAAATATACGGACCTTTGTCCTTAGGGAGTCTGATGGAAAGAATTCAGAATGTGATTTGCAATGAACAACAGTCATGCTGGTGAGTTGTGCTGATAAGGAGCTCTGCTCTTGCACTGCCTTGGAGCAAGGGCAGCAGTCCCTTGTCCCCAGCCCAGCTCCTGAGGATGTCCCAGTGCACCCGTGGCCGTGGCAGTGGACTGGGGGAAGCGTGGAGATGCTGCCAGTGTGACCCCAGCCCAGGTGCAGTGGCTGCTGCTTTCTGACACCCCACTGTGAAAACCCACCCCAGTATCTTCCCACTCCTACCTTGAGTTTTCCACCTAATGCTGCTGTGAGTGGTTGGACTTAGGAAAAAACAACTTTCCTCAGTCTTTTGGCTGGGTATCCTCAATAAAGAGCCTTTCTGCCTATTTTAGGAGGGGAGGCACACATTTGTGGTGCTGGAAATGTGTGTGAGAGGAAACCTGCAGAGAAGATGATGTTATAGCTACTGATGTGATGCACTGCTCAGAGAAGACAAGTCTGATGAGGAACCATGCCAGTCTCCTAAGTGGGCACTGCAGTGCAGCCTGGAGGGAGGAAGGCCAGCCCTTCCCAGATCACTTTGACATGCCTCTCATTACCAGAGAAGATTTCAGTGACAGTAAAAAGCATTTTATTATGTTTAAATAAAAAACTTTAACAACTCAATTTCTAGAATTCAAAAATTATTTGCAAGTGTAAAAACAGGAACATTAATTTATAACCAGTGGTTTTATGGGTGAGGACTCCTGATAGACCCTTTTATGCACTTTGGGCTCACTGAATTAATCTGCAGCTGTTAAAGTTGTCCCAGTCTACCAGGTGCAATTTCATGACTCAGAAGCCTTAATCTTGAATATTCTCTGTGTATATTCTTATTTCCTGGAGATCCATTGGTTATAAACATTCATTGGGCTTTCTGGTAATGTAACATGTTGAAAATTAACTAATTACTATTTAAATTTCTGCTCCTTGTGTTAATTAATTTCAGCAGAGACCATGTAAACTGACCCCCTGGAGCTGGGACAGCACTGCAGGTGGATGTGCATGCCAACCTAAAGCACTTACTGGAGGTAAATCAACGGCATTGGTGGCAGAGTCTCCTGGTTTGTCTCAAGTGTAAATGCTGGAGACAGATATTTTTCTCCTGAGACTTCAGGATGGCTGAGATGCCTCTCTCTGCTAACTTTGCTTAACTAATATTTTCTAGTAAAAATAATTGTTTTAAAAACACAAGGTTACAGACATTCTGAAATAGCACCTTAATAACCTGTTGATACCAAGTCAGGCAGAGGGATGTCATGTAATATTGCAGGAAGTGGTGGGATGTGACAATGCCCTCACTAGTGCATCTGAGAAGATTCAGTGGGGGAAGTTCCAGTGGTGTTGGAATATGGAGCCTGAGGACTACTCTCAGCAGATAGTGTATGTCAGAGTGACAAAAATCCATGGAAGCTGCGAATTGCCCTGCATCCTAGACAAGCATTTCTCCAGTTGTTTGTGAGCGCTTTGCACTATACAAACTCACTGACATAAGTTCAGTGGTCTAGATGCCTCCCAAAAAGGCCAGTCATCTCTGGAATTCCTTGTCATTTGCTGTAATGGACACAGAACTAAAGCCCGAGTGTGTGGCTTCATCAGCCTTTTAGGAGAATGGAAGAGTTGCTAATTAACTACGTATTTTGGTGTCAGACCTTCTCTTCCTGCCTGCTGTGACTGTTGCTCATGCTGTGTCTCCAGACACTGATGGCATCTCAGCGTTGAGGTAGGGAAGGTTTCCTTTAAAGCCTTCTGAGCTCATGAGAGTGAGATAGTGCATTCCCATGTGGTTAAGTTATACATTTAGGAGCTCTGGCTACAAGTGTTAGCATAACAACCTTGGGTTGCTAGGAGGTGCTGTGTGGGGATTAATTAATCAGGATGGTTGTGCCTTCTGTTTGCCATCATTGCTGATACAGAGGAGAGGTTTTCAAAGCCAAAAGCTGTGATGGACTCTTGTCAAGCTGACAGATTTGCATATAGAAACCTACATTAAGTCAATTGTGGCAAAAGTTAGTCATTGCAAAATACTGCAGGGGAAAAATCTGAGCTGTGGGGCCCACAAGAGGCTCTGTCTGCTCTGAGCTGCTCCTCTGTCCACATTGTTACAGACAGCAGCAACACTGAAACAGCTGAGACTGCTGAACCAAAAGACTTTCCTGTTGCACTAAATGGGTTTAAAAGGCTGATATGTAGCTCACAGATTTTTGGTACACTTTTGAAGCAACATCCTAAACTTTCTTACTGCACAAGTAAGAGATTTGGCTTTTCCCTTGCAAGAGCAGGGGATGCTACCCCAGGCTGCATCTCCTTTACTGTAGCTGGTTGAACTGCCCAGATAGTCACTTTATGATATAGTTCCACTCAGATGGTTTAAGGCAACAGATGGGATAACAGTAAGTCAGCAGACGAAACAGAAAATCCATGAAGAGAGTGATAAAACCTAATGGAGCTTGGAGCAGTCTCTTCAACTGGACAGTAATGAGTGCCCAAAGCTCCAAACTGTAGTAGACACAAGACAGTCTTGATCACAGGTGCACAGAGGACTGAATCCACACAGCTTTTAAATGATTTTAAGACTCTAAATTCACTGGACAAGCAAGCTTGCTGCTAGTCGTCTTCAAGCATCCATTCCCTGGGAGGTACCATCCAAACAAAAATATTTAGTTTTCCCTCAGTTGAAGTAAAGTGTTTGCTCAGCTCTTTGAGAAGAGTGTAAAAGGAAGGCAGGCAGTGTTCAGATTCCAAAAGCTCAAAGCAGATGACCCTGCATGAGGAACTTCAAGACAACTGGCCTCAAAGTTCCTGTATTCAATATGCCCCTAACCAGGAATGAGTGCTCTAATTCTATAATGCTTCTCAGAACTGATGCCTGGTAAATGCTGTGTGAGACTGAGGTTCAGAGTGCCCCGCCACTTTTGTCTGGTGACTGAAGAGCTAAGTGAGCACAACCACAGCAGCATATCCAGCACTTGTTGGGGGTATCAGAAAGGGAAAAGGCTGGATCCAAAAATGAGCGTGTGAACTCTTCTGCTGCAGTGTAGGGGAAGCATGGGGGCCTAGCCTGAACAGAATAACCCACAAGATCATACCTAATGCCTGTGTGCACCCTTTTCTGTTATCTTTGTCTCTCTCTCAGCTATGAAAAGAGGAAGCTGCAAGGAAGGTAAGGCAACCTTTTGGTTAATAGTCAGTTCTTTTCACCATTTTTCCATAGTGGAGCTCCATATTCTGTAGGAATTCAGCTCTGCAGATTCCTCTTCTCAGGAGCATGCCTGAGCCCCTGGTTCATAGAAGAATCGCAGGTGACTGGGAGCAGCTGTATGCCAAAACTCATGCACTGGGCTGATACTCTTCATGGAAACAATCTGGTATATAAAAGCAGGAATGTAGTGTAGTGGTCAAAAGATTTGGTTTGGAAGGGAGGACATGAGCTTCCTCTTTGGGGGCTCTGTCATTTCCTTGGGAGTACAGTACAGCAGCCCAGGGCGTTCATGGCTCTGAGTCCCTTCCAGGGAAAGAGAGGAATACATACTGCTTTCCCTTTCCTGCATGAGTGCAGTGCCCACAAGGCTGCTATGAAAACCCCATCAGAATTCCTTTCAGGACAGAAATGCCTACTGTTTGGTGTGGGGTTTGTGTTTGATTTGGTGTTTTTGTTTTGTTTTTTGGGTTTTTTTCCCCTGAATGGATATTGCTGAGTACTTTAGGTATGTGCTAGGAGTCCCTAAGGGACCAGGCTGTCAAGACAGTGACCAGTCTGTGATTCTCAGCTGAAGAGTTATGGTAATCTTGGCCACAGCAGTGGCACCTGAGGGTATGCATAATGCACAATGTTAAACACCTGAGAACATTAAGGCAAAATCCTATATGCCTATAATCCCCTGAATGTCCTGTCATTCTGGTGTGGTTGGGTAGCTTGTTTTGCTAGTGTTGGTCTCCCAAATTCCTACTTGTATTGCATTTAAGAACACATGCACACATTTTTCTCCCTTCCTTGCTCCATTGCTACACACGAGGATGGAGAGTCATTGCCTTTTCTGCACTCACCGTCATGTACAGGTTACAAGTGCTGTGTGTGACCCTGGTAACCTCCCCTCCTGTATGCTGCACACTTCCTTGGCAGCCTCAGTGCAGAGCACTCCCTGCCTAGAGCTGAGGGGGGGAAGGCTGAGCAGGTTTTGTTTTGCTCCCTCCAAGGGGTTTGAGCCCAAGCACTGCAGGATCATGTCCCAGCTGCTGCTCTCACTGCTCTCAGCACTGGAATAGCAGTGTTGCTCCTGTGATAAGCTGTTTCTCAGCCTGCAGCGACACTCCCTGTATTTACAATGAATAGTTACTGGAATAGCTCGAGACAGCAGTCACAGACCTGCAGAGCAGACACTGGAGCTACGGTAAATTAGGCTGCGGAGTCACGTGTGCTCTTCCAGGAAAAGAAGGTTGTGCTGGTGCCAGAATAAAACATTTCCCCACTGGTGCTGGCAGATCTCTCTGGGCACTGTGGCTTCTAACAAAAGGTTTGCATAAGAGAGTTGTTACTGTACAAGCTTCTATTTCACATTACCTGCACCTATTGGGGTTGTTTCTGTATGCCCACCTGTGTTGACAGGCATCAGCTGGCCAGCCAGGGTCATGGCAAAGCTGGGGCTTGTGGAAGTCTGATCAGTGCTGCTGCTGAGGTCTATTAGTCACTGGTGATGGTGGCTTTCAATGCAGAAGGTTGCAAACTGTTTTTTACCTTGCACCTCTTCAGTGAATGATGGTAGCCCCAATTCTGCAAGTTATTTAGGTTCCTGCTACTGAAATCTTTGGGGACACAATGTCTAAATTTAATTTTTCAGAAGGTGGGACTGTTCTGCTTGCTGCAATTCAAATACATAGAAGGATCCCTATAAATATTTCATGGCCTCAGGGGCAAACCGTAATGTGGCTGCAAAACTAGGCCCACATACATCTCCACAAGAAAAATCACTCTGCAGAAGCAATAGAGAAACTATGCTCCTAGGCTGTCAGTACTTACAGCTGATAGATGCAGAAAGACAAAATATAGTTAATGGTTTAGAAATAGGCTTTGCACCAATATAGGTTTCCAGTTTCCAACATGTTTTTAAATGAAGCAGAAATTACATGTCTATCTGCCCTCAGATTTTCCTCGTTAGCATTAATCAAGCACACTTGACTCACTTACAGATGAATTTGATTAGGATCATGTATACTCTTAGGAACCAAAAATAATGAATCATGACTAGAGTGTACGTGCTGTTACAGCCAACATTGTTGATTGGTGCCTGCTGCAGCAGTGAACTACTAGAAAGCTCCTAGAACTGGGTTCCAAACCATTGGCAATGGGAGGTGGTAATGGCACACATGAAATAAAGCAAGACCACAGAAACTGGAAAGCTATAAAGTGTACAGCTATTTAAATGCCTATATAATTGGTTGAAATTCTTTATTTTCTGACATAGGAAAAGTTAGAATGGAAACTTGACTGTGTCTACATGAATACACAAATATTTTTTGCATATGTTCCAGCCTCTGGCCCGCAGTTGCAGCTTTTAGATCTTTGAGCTCACTTACATATCTTGTTTTATACTGCCAACAGATTCTTCTGCTCGTCTTTTAGCACTA